TCTCTCTGTCTCTCTCTCTCTCTCTCTCTCTAACCTCTCTGAGGGTTAACGACTGATCCGTTTTGATGAATAGGAAATACAGGGCGTAAAATGGTATGCAAAGCACCGATGATAGTGCCAGACACCAGCCAATAAGCTCGCCCCACCATGGGTATTTATACGTGTCCGCGTACACCAACGGCTCGTATTTTATCACAGAGAATAAGAATATGGCCTTTAAATAAATACAAAAATAATAGTTGCAATTAATATAGCAATTTTATAAACATGGTAAATGTGATTTGTGAAAATCTATGTGATTATTAAAGTGTGTTTTCAAACAAAAAACCAACATTGTATTTTATTTATTATTCCATTATAATATAAATGACAAACACTTATAATCTACTATTTTAGCCCAATTTTGTTGTGTAATATTTAATGAATTTGTGGTATTTATATGAAATATTTAGTGTACGAGTTATTAGTGTATGAAATAAAATACTTACGCCTATAATAACGGGCGCGAAACCGACCCAACAGTAGTAAAACCATCGCAAAGGGCTGTTGTGTTTAATTTAATTATTAAACGTGATAAATAACATCATAATATTAATAATGATTTAATTTATTGTGCATTTTATTTATAAATTGTTGTTATATCTTACTAAAAGCCCAGCATATCCTTCATGTTTTTGTATATATTGGTAGCGCCTGTAAATATATATAATATTTAATTAATTATTAATTATATCATGTTTATTCTTGTTATGGTATTATGTATTAAATATAGCATTCAAGAAGTAAATCAATCAAAATTACCTAGCTTGAAATACTGAATTAATTTTGTCCAATATAACTTAATAATAATTATAATTTATAATAAAATTACGATATAATAGGCTATAATTGTATTATAAATTATATTCTCTATAATAGACACACTTCTTGTACACTATAACGGGGGTAAAGGGGAGAGGGGAGGGGTAGCCGACACTTACCAAACACCCAACACAGGCCGACAATCTCAAAGAAAACGACCAAGAGCAGTGAGAATCCGCTGGCCGAGAAAAAGTCCATGAGCTGAAACACGTACATTCCGCCGCCCATGATCAGCGGCACACCCAGACAAAACTGAACAATGACCACGGTCAGCGTGAACAGTCGCCTCCGGGGGCGCAGATAGCGGGGCCACTCGTCCACAATGCCGGTGACAAAGGCTTCAACAGTGCAAAACTGGCTGTCGATACCCAGTATGAGTAGCATCAGGAAGAATAGTATGGACCAGAGGGGCGATATTGGGAGTTGAGTGACCACTTCGGGATAGGCCAGAAAGGCCAGCCCCGGTCCCGATTTGGCCACATCGCCCACACCCTTGCCCTGGATGTGGGCCATGTGTCCCAACACTGAGAATATGACAAATCCCGAGAATAGTGACGTTCCGCTACTCACTATACACGCGATGATTGAGTCCCTATTAAACGTGTGGTAATAATAGTGAAAATTAATTTTCATATTTGTTATAAATATTTGTATAATTTTATCATGTGTAATATTTTGAAGTTAATTAGTTGTTGAAATGTTATTAAAATTACAATAAAAATATTAGTATATTTTAACTGTATTTAATAATTTACTAAATTATAATCATGATAGTATATTTGATATTATACAGTATTATAATATTCATATTATGATATATTTAACTATGATATTACTGATAATAGTCAGTGTAAATTATAATAAATAGTTAACAAACTCATGGTGTTCTTTGAAAATGATAGTGATGACTTTGTAATGGTAGTTTTCTCAAGTATTATAAAGTTTTATTTATTAACTATTTACAACAATTTATCAAAAATGTCATCAAGATCGCTTTTTAGTGCAACAATTTTACAGATTATAAGTTTTATAATTAATTATTAAAATTAATATCCATAACACGCACACAAACATCACTTAAAACTCATAAAAACATAAATTATTGGCTTATAATACGGAGAACTTTTTTGAGAGTATTTATCACCGACTCTTACAGAATATTCTGTAAATAATTCATGTTTTATTTGCATGTATGATATGTTTGTACACATAAATTATGCACGTGTTTGTGTAGGCAAATCGTGCCTGCTCTCTCTCTCTCTCTCTCTCTCTCTCTCTCTCTCT